TTGGCAGAGCTGGCCCCAACATGTATGAGAATGGGGCACAAGAGCAAATAGAAATACTGTGTAACATAGGTTGGGAGTTCTCTCCTCACACAGCAGTCAAAGCAAGCAAGACTTCCCCCACAAAGTAACCCTTGTTTCCCAAGCCACGGGCACCCTTCCTGCAATCTTCAAAGAAACCTAATATTAGAAATCTAGATTCGAATTTAGAATGATTGGATTCCATATGGTTCTATACAGAAATATACCGTGTCCTAGTCTCTTGCAAGTGTCATTTCACCTAAACAAGGGTCCTTGGGGATACACACACAAAAACCCCTTACTAGCATCCCCGCCAAAGCACCTTCCCGGAGCCCAGCTTCTGCTATGGGGACACACAACAGACAGGTGAGTTAAAGAAAGGGCTCAGGGGTCCCCTCAAAGAAGAGTTGGGCCATTTGAGAAAAAGACACTGCAGTCCCCACCAGGGGCATACGGGCTCTAGGACGGCACATCTCCCCGGCTTTAAGTAGTTCTTATTCCATGGAGGAATATTGGCTGGAGAGAGGGCCAGAGAAGGGCTCCAAGAGCATGGGACTCAAGGCAAGACTCCACCTGCACAGCTACAAGATGGCTCTGGTATCTTCGAGCTCCTGTTCCATTTGTTAAAAGGACTCTAAACAAACCCTCCCTCACAGAGGGCACAGAAGTTGGTGGCCTGAAGTAAGTACTTAAACACAGTTAGTACCATAAATAATGTGAGTTGGATCCTCTGGGACTGGAGCTACAGACAGTTGTCAGCTGCTATGTGGATGCTGGGACCAGAACCCTGGTCCTGTGCAAGAGCAGCAAGCACCCTTAATCAGTGAACCCCTTCCAGGTCCCAAACTTGACCTTTAAACTAATACGGTTCGGGACGTTTTTTCTTCCTTAGTTTAGAAGGGATCTGCTGCTGTATCCTGTTCCCATCAGGGGCCCAAGGAGAAGACACTGGGCTGCAGAGATTCACCCACAAGAGTGTGCTGTGTGTGTGGTCACTGACCAGATCAGAGGAACGCAGAGGACACTCACCAGCCCTACATGGTGGATGGTGAGAGAGCTAAGGAGCCCCAGAAGAGGTGCGGCAGAGTCTCTACAAACCCTAGCAATCTACTGGGAGCCCACCAGAGCTGGGCAGGTGGGAGCAGTGTGGAACCTGGTTGACAGACTCCACTTTCAGTAGCCCTATCTCAGAAGCCCCAGAGAACCAGGAATGCCAGAAACCCGGACTCTCAGGAACACCAAACCCGTGATGTTCATCTTAACAGTGGGGAAACCGATACCCCGAAAGGCCATCACAGGTTACGCTCACAGGCAGAATTCAGGCTGGGACTTCTGGTTCAGGTTGGGAACCCTGACATCACACAGGGCAACGGACACATGCCAGGAGAGGGTGGCAAGGTCAAGCTCAGCTCCATGGGGAGGCCACTATGACTAAGGACTCCTGAATCTAGCACTGCCTCTTCTTCCTGATGAACTTAGGTCTTATCTCTGCCTTTTGCCCTTAGACTGCAGAACCTAGTGTCCAGGCTGAAAACACAAATAATGACATTACTTAGCATTATTGAGCACAGGGTCAGAGACTCTGTTAGATTTTTTCATGCTTTATTTCATCTAATCTTCAATCAACTCTATGACCTGGAAACTAAGACTATTCCTCTTCCATTCTCTACACGAGAAACCTGGAGGCTCAGGAAAGTGAAGGCACTTGGTGAAGGTCACCTGTTTAGCTAGTGAGTTGTGGACAGAAACTCTACAGAGCCTCTGCATTCATGCAAGCCCACAGTGGACATTGACCGATCAGGGATTCTGATATTGAAGATGCCAAACAGGCCGAGTTTAGGAGAGAGCTCTGTCAGCTCACTAAATGGGGACAGCAGAGGGAAGAAGGGCCCCGGGGACACAATGAGAGCACATAAAGGCCCATTTGTGCCAACAACCTCTTCTCTCCAGACACTGGCTTGCTCTGAAAACAGTCTGTATTCGTTCCTCAGCCCCTTTCCAGAGATCTTAGGCTTCCAATGGGATTGCAGCTCCACCTACAGCCACCAGAGGGCGGGCCAGCTCTGTGGCCAAGAAGAACTCAGAGCTTGGCCAACTGTCCAAGCAGAGAGATGGGCCTACATGACCAAACCACGGTCCCCCATGACACTGTGCCATCAGCATACTCCTTGGGATTTCCAAACATCTAACTGCGAAAGTCCATCACGGGGTCTGCTCCTAGTGAGATAGCCCGTACCAAAACAATGACGCCCTCGAAACAGTAATACAGCCTGGAGAGATGGAGACTTTATGTAGCCTGTATAGTCTCTGTGTACAAAAAAGGAAATGGAGGCATAAGGAAAAGCGTGAATGGCCCGGGATAGTTAGAGAAAGCTGGTGTTCCGATCCAGAGGGAGCTGTCAAGAAGTGTAAGGAGGGGGGACCCCAAATGTAAATATCGGGAGAAACAAGGAGTAGGAATAGCCCACAGGGAAAACCAAATGCTCAATGAGATTCTGGGAAGCCGATGCTAGCCACCCGCCCACCCACCACCAGCCAGTGGTCCAACAGCCTTGCTCAGCACCTGTTGGACACACTGTGTAAGAAGCATTTTCCTGCCCTCAAAACGCTGGCAGTCTAGAGTGGTGACTCAGCAGATAACTATGGGAAACCCGGACACCTGTACCAGGGGGCGGCTTAGAGAGCACCCGACTGTCTAGGGAATCCCAACTTGGGCTGAAGGAGAGGCCTGGAGCTAAGGACCCTCTCTCCCCCGCAGCTCATCACAGGATGGGGCTCCCCTCCGAGCTTTGGTTGACAGCCTGTGCTGGGGGGCCAGTGTCCCCTCCCACCCTTCTCAGAAGAGCTGCGGCCCAGGGAGCCGATGAAGCACACCTGAGTCAGCCCGCCGCCCACCCGCCCCTCAGCGTCTGTCTCCGCATCTTGTGATATTTCGCTCCCCGGGAGCCAGCCCCATTGCGCTCCGGAGGCAGCTCGGCAAACAAACCCAGCGACAGATTGTGCCGCGGCTCATTCCGGGGAAGGACGCCAAATCCCACCCTGCTACCCCCAACACTCCCTCCCCGCCGCCCCCTCCAGCGCTACCCCCACCTCAGGCGCGGGCCCTGCGCCGAGTGGGACCCAGGGAAACGCAGGGCCCTATTGCGGCCTTACAGAAGAGGGACAGGGGGCCCAGATAAGCCCCTTTTTGTTTCTACCTGACCTGGAAATGAGAAAAGCAGGAGAGAAAACTCAGGGACTGCTAGGCTGGTAGCGCTGTAACAAAAGATAGGCCCAGCAGGGGGCACCTCAGCGCGTGAGGTGCAAGAAGGCTGAGGAGAGCCACTACCACCATAATGCTGCCCAGGAACAAGATGAAAAGGGGGAAGGGAAGCAAGTCAAAGGAGGGGCGACGAAAGGCATGCAGACCCGGAGAGGCCGAAAGGCTGCGAGTCAAGAAGAAAGGAAGAAAGGAAGAAAGGAAGGAAGGAAGGAAGGAAGGAAGGAAGGAAGGAAGGAAGGAAGGCAGGTGACAAAGACAGGCAAAGAAACAGAAGAAGGCATACACATATTTGGAGAGAAAAGGACAGATCTGGAAAGTAAGGGAGGGGAAGTGAGAGAGAGAATAGAGATAGGGAATCGTAAAATATGAATAAGGGTTGGGGGAGAAAATGAGAGGAATCGAATGAGTACGAGAGAAGAATGACAGATTATAAAAGGAGCAAGGAATGAATGAGAAGAATGAGACTAGTATTTATAAAGCGCCGACTGTATGCCGTGCACAGCGTTGACCCCTGGCACAGACACGAAAGGAGGAGCCAAATGCCCGAACTAAGGGTTCCTAGGCTCCGCTCACAGAAGCGGCCAAGCTGTCACCGACAGGGTCCGGTTGCGTTCAGATGACCCAGGGACCCGCAGTACGCACCACTGCAGCAATCCCAACCCTGCGCGCCGCTTGGCGACGGTCCCCTAAGCGGCTCCCTCAACTATCCTTCACCCTAGTGGCTCTCAAAAAACTAGGCACCGTGGGCTGGCCTTTAAAAGAAGGCGCTTAGGTCAGGCTTTGACTAATACTGCCCGCAAAGAGGCCACTAGAGGTGTCTAGGGCTCCTTTCCATCCCTCTGTAAAAAGGGAAGACGTTTCTTTGAAACTAACAATCTTACTTTGGGGTCCTCTTCTGCCCTCTGGCGAGATGATGAGATCCCCGTTGGGGCATATCACGTAAGTACACACACACATACGCGCGCGCGCGCACGCACACACACACACCGCACGCGCGTCCAAACTTACACCCATTAGTAAAAGCTTTTAAGGTGCATACAACACACCTGAGTACATATATCCTTCGCCTTCCATCCCAAACTCGCGCGCGCAAAATTTCACACAGCCCTCTAGTGCGGTCCACCAGCGCAGAAACCAGCGCGCGCTGCTCCCCGACAGGGATAAAAAGGCAGCACTCAAGCTACACCTGCCCCAGTGACTGCGCGCAGTGGGGGGTCACGTGCCTATACACTTGTTCACACAAACTCCTATACACACTGCTCCTGTAACTGCACAAGCAGGGCTCGGAGTCTGAGAACCGAAGTTTTTCTAGGGGGACACAAGCGATCGCAAGGGACAGGGCAGGAGGAGGGGCGCTGAGCGGGGAAACTACTCAAGAATCCGTGTATTTTCTGGGAAAGTTGGGAGAAGAAACCCCAATCTCGGACAAGTCCATGGGGGCGGGGGGTGGGGGTTTCCTTAACACTACTGCGCGCGCACGCACACACACACACACACACACACACACACACACACACACACACCAAGAAGGGATTTCTCTAAAGGCATGGCGCCGCGGAGGATATGGGAACACAGCCTTCCGGGTCTCCCCAGGTTGGGAGGGGGCCAGAGGAGTGGGCTAGAAGGAGAACCACTCCCGCCTCCCAGTAGCCAGCAAAGGGTTAAACCGGCCAGCCGGGAAGCGAGGGAGGAGCCAGCGAGTGCGGGAATGGGGGGGGGGGAGCGCTTCTTCGCTGTCCCCACTCTTCCTCGGAGAGCAGCCGGGGTGCACGGACCGACAGACTAACCGACTCCCTGCCGGGCCGCACTGCCTAGGGGGCGCGGACACCAGGTGTCCAGGACCAACCCAGCCCTCTCTACCCCGTCGTGCCCCGCCCCGTCCCGTCGGGGCCGATGGCTCCTTCGGAGGCACGTAGTCCGGGGGGCGCAGGGTAGAGCTCCGCAGCCCGGCAACGTAGCCCGGGGACTCCTCGGGTCCTTCCGGAGCCCCGCGGAGTCCCCGCCGTCTGTCCGGCGGGATAAGGGGGCGAGTGGGAGAGCCCTCCCCCACGCCGCCCCCTCCTCCGAGCGTCGAGACAAGATGCTGCCCGGGCTCCGGCGCCTGCTGCAAGGTAGGGACATCGTCCGGCTGGAGGACCCTAGAGAGGGGCGCCCCTCTCCTTGGGCATGCGGGTGGGGCAGTGAAGGGGGGGGGGGGGGCGGGGAGCAAAAAAACCGCTTAGCGCGGGAGCCGCGCCTCCGCCCCCATAGCTGCCAGCCGCAGGAGGGCACTGGGCTTGGAGCCTGCGGGAGTGTGCGGGGAGCTCGTGACCAAGGGGCGACGCGGAGGGCAGAGCGAGCAGGCTGGGAGGAGGAGAAAGAGGCTCGGGTTCCGCTGTCCCGGCTCCACCTGCTCCGGGGGACGCCGAGGACTCGAGCCGGCTGGGGAAGCGCCGACTCAGCAACTCCTAGTGCCCGGTGTCTCAGCACTTTCCAGTCACCTGGGAAGACAAGCCATGTGGGTAGGGGGCTATCTGGGAAGGTAGGGGGCAGAGAGTGCGATTTCCCCATGGCCCTGCCTGATCGGACAGATGGAGGGTCTAGAAGGCTAGTGCCGTGCGTTGAGTGACAGCCAAGGGTGTGGGCTGGAGACTGGGGGCGGGGAGGGTAGGGGTCGGAGGGAGGAGGGGAGTCAAGATGAGAAAAGTGTCTAGAGAGGTGGGGGGTGAGAAAGAGGAGGTGGGGGCGGGATGGGGGAGGGGCGGGGCGGGAGGAGCAATAAAGGTTAGACGACAGGAAAGCTTAGAGGGAACCAGGGTCCAGGGGAGGACCAAGGAAGAGAGAGGAGAAGGGGACCAGTTCAGGAGAGAAATGTAAAGACTAGGATGGAAAGCTAGTGGGGCGCGGGGCCGGGGAGATAACCGGAAGGGTGAGGACCGGGCCTCTGGGAGACTGGACTGGAAAGGGATTGAGAAGCCTAGAAGCCAGCGGAAGCTGGTGATAGAGGATAGATGGAAGGGGTCAGACACGGGGAAAATGGTCACCAGGATTGGGGGCCCGGATCCCTACAGGGTAGAGTGATTAGAGAAGGCTCGGGGTGTCATTAGAAGCCAGAGATGGAGAAAGAAGAGGAGCAAGGAGGTGCCCAGGGAAGAGACAAAGAGGCTCCTGATAACCACTTCCACGTGGGAAAACCTTCCATTCTCAAGCGCCTGCCTGTTCTACCCCTTCTCTCAGGGAGTGGCTGGTGGGCTAGTCCAGGGGACCTTGAGCTCAGGGTCTGGGGCTGCTGTAAGAGAAGGAGGCTGAGGACTTTGTGGGGGGGGGGGGGAGGTGGCAGCCTCCTCGGGGTGGGCACCTGGGCTGCCATTTATATCTCCAAGCCCCGACGTCGGATCCTGCCGCCCCACAGTGGCTGCTTATTTTGGGGTGTTACATTCTGGCAGCGTGAGAAGCTGTTTCAGACAGAGTGAAGCAGCAGCTTCAAACCCTCCAGTCACCTGCATCAGTGCCTCCCCAGGCCCCTGCGTCACTGGTATGCCATCGCCCCCATGCCACTCCTAAGCCCCCCCCCCAGCCTCTGCCCCCTCAGCATCTGCTGGGCAGGCCCCTGGCTCTTCACGGAGGCAGTGTGTCAAGTGTGGAGATGATGCTTGTATTTGGGACCCTGTACCCTACTTCTAGAGACAGAGGCCTGTCGACTTTTCCTGGGGTATCTGTGCCCCATTATGGTGCAGTCTGGTTCCTGCCTTGGACTCCCCCCAACACACACACACACACACACACACACACACACACACACACACACACACAGGCTTCAAGTTTCTTATCCCCAGGAGCCTCTGTCCTAGCGGTTGGCACAGGCTGAGATCTTCATCTCAGAACCTGGGTATTCCAAGGTCTGGCAGCCCTTGGGCCCTGAGCGTGATCCTTTGGTGAATGGAGCCTTTTGGCTCTGGTTACCTTAGCCTTCCAGGATCAATATCATGTTGTGGCTCTCTCCACTCCCTCCTGTGGCCTGATGTGGCTACGCCTGGGGTCATAGGCCACCTCCTTCTGACTCCCAATTGTGCTGTGCTCTAGAATAACCAGAGCCTGGAGCCCAGGAGTGGAGCTCTATAGAGAGAGCCTAGGCCCCTTTCCCGCTCGACCCTGAACAGCCAAAGGGCTAGCACTGTGAGCGTCCCAGGCCTGAGCATATGAGCAGGGTGCCTACACTACAGTCCCTTTGCCTCTAGGCCACAGGCTCACATCCAGGGGGTGTGGTGGGGGAAGGGGCTCTGCAAGAAAAGTCTGAGTGCACCCTGTGACCACAGTCCTGCGCCTGTGCCTGCTGCTCTGGATCTCACGTTACACTTGGGGCTGCACAGTGAAGTCTCCCACCCTTCCTAAGAAGGTTGGGACCTATGTACTATGGATCTCCCCAGGGGTCATGACAGGTTGGGGGGTCTCTGGATAGAGAAGGCAGCCTGCACAAGCAAGTAGAGTGTTGGTGTGCAGTAGGCACAACAACAGGTCGAGTCCTTCTCTGGTCCCACACACTGTTCGCCTGCTGACTTTAGAAGAAGGGATGAGCAGAGGGTGAGGGAGAAAAGACTTCCCTCTCCCTTCACTACAGGGGAGGGGAGAAGCCAGGATTCTGAGGGCAGAAAGGGCTCGACCCAACCAGAAGCCAACTTCACTGCTTTCCAGTCCTGGGTGATGTTTTCTGTCTCACAGTGACTTATTCTAGAGTGGCTGAGGATCCCCCAGCCACCTCTGACACACTGTGCCTGCCCAGGACATGCATAGGGGAACCTAGAAAATGGCTGTGGTCCTGGGGGGGGGGGCCGTGGGAGAAAGAAAATGGCACAAGGAGCAGGGTAGGGAGAGGGGAGGGAGGGAAAGGTGCTCTCCCAGCCCCCTACTTTGCCTCTGCCTGGAGTGCCCACTCCAACCCAGCCTGGGGGCAGAGAAGCCTAGAGCCCCCCTCGCTCTCCCCCCCTGCCTCCAGTGAGAGAGCCACAACCTGAATTATGGATGAAGCTCCTTGGGTTACAGCTGCTTTGCGCGACAGTGAGGGCCAGAAATGGCAACAGAGTCACTGTTACGCAGCAGCCGCCGTGGAGCACCCCACCACACACTGGGTCCCTCCTCAAAGGGCCTGCAGGGAATACCGCTGAGGCGGAGGGAAGCGGAGTGTGGAGGGGGGCAGCCGGGAGGCCGGCAGAGCAAAGAGGAGAGGGACCACTGGAAAGAGTGAGGAGCCAAACAGGAAGTTGGGGCAAGAAGGAAGGGGGAACTTGCCAGCCCCCTGATGAGCTTGACCTCAGCCTGGAAGAGGACCCCTGAGGCCGAGGGAGCAGTCCTCTGAACCTGTGGCCTTCTGGGTTTGTAACCCTTTCTGCTCTCTATCCTGGGAAAGTAGTCAGTCAGGCATGGAGGCTGGTAGAAGAGCCCGGTAATCCTGGGGGGGTGGGAAGGCTGAGAGCTGTGCAGCTCACACCCTAGTGAGCTTGTGGATGGGGGTGGGATTAGGGGATCAGAGGAGGATTTGGCTTCCTTTGGTGTAAAGCCCTTGGAGAGGCAGAGCTCAGTGGGTGACAGAAAGAGGAATGCCCTGCTGGACACCAGGCCAGTCTCTTTCTGGCCCTTGTCCTGCACCACTTTAGTGTGTGACCTTGGGTAAGTTGTTTGCCTTCCCGGAGATCCAAATTGCCGTCTGTCTCCGTAGGATTCACACAGCTCCAAAATCTCCAGTTCTAAGCCCCAGTCCTCAGTGCTCAGGAAGCCCACCCAGGGTCTACCACTGGACTCCCACACCCCACTCCTCCCTGGTTAAGATCAAGGGTGAGAGACGTGCTCCTCCACCCCACGTGGCTCTGAAAAAACTCAGGAGGAGAAAAGTAATCGTGAACCGCCGCACGGGGGAGGGGTGAGAAGGACCGAGAAACGCGGAGGTGGTGTGAACGAATGGAACAGCCGCGCTGTGTCACTGAATATTACATCACACCCAGCCTACACACGCACGGGGCCCGGCACTCACACACGCGGAGGACCGCCAGCACACGCTTGCTTGCTCGCTCGCTCGCTCGCGCTGCAGGAGGGGCCAGTGACACACACAAGCGGGCTGGGTGGCTTTGGGATGCGCCCCAAAGTGAAGAGCTAGGGAGCACCCGGACTCCAGGGTACTCCAGTCTGCACCAGCGTGGAGCTCCCCAGGGGTGCATGCCTGACACACGTTGCCTACCAGGTGGCGCTGCACCTTCAGTAGTGAGCACCTGTCTCACGCTGTCCCCCCAGATCACAGGCACACCTCCATACACACAGCTACGTCAGGACGCATTCAAACCTCAGTTCGCACGCAGCCTTACAGATCTGGCACTAAAAGTTACCCACCTCTCAACTACCCACTCCCTGAACCATGGGGACACCCTAAACCAGGCCTTCCCACCAGGCCTTCCCACCTCTGACTGCCTGGGCCGAGGGAATGGTTCACCTCTCCCTAGGCAAAGATTCCCAGGAATGTCTCAGGCTCTCTGAAAACCCTGCTACAACTTAGTTACTAGAACTAAGGTCTACCAACAGGAACCTCTATCTGTGGCATTGAGGAGTAGAGGGTAGGGAAGCAGGTAGGAGGGGCTACCTTGTTCCTTGGTGGGGCAGGGAAACACAGGCACCCATTCTCAACACCTTAGTCCCCTGCACCAGCTTTCCAGTCTGTATCCTAAGAAGATTAGCCCACAATCAAACCCCCAAAACAAAGGCTTTGAAGAAGATTTTGAATGAGAGTTGACTCTGCAGCCCCACCCTCCAGCCACTTCCCAGGTGGAAAAGGCTAGGGTTCTTCCAAGGCCTTCAGGGAGAAGAGGGAGGAGGGTGTGGGTCACCAGGACACCCACAGGCCTTCTAGACACAGACAGCTTCAAGTTAGTATCTAGTTTTCTCGAGTGGGCTGGTTTTGCTCCCAGAGGACATTTGGCAATGTCTAGAGACATTTTGATTGTCATAACTGGGGGCAGGGTGCTGCTGGCATCTGCTGGAGAGAAGGCAGGGCTGTAGTTTAACACCCTGAGAAGAGCCATCCCCGTCCCTAAGAATCCCCAGCCCTGCTTCAGCACAAAGCAGAGGAAACCCTGACCCTTTGACTTTTGACCCTAACTCTGCACAAGGTCAAACACAGCAATGAAAACAGACGGGAAGGAAAGACACCTGTTCCCTGAATAACTTTAGACACATCTCAGTGCTGTCTACAAAGCCCTCCTCGTGTCCTAGGCAAAGCTCCCCAAGGAAACTTCAGAGGCCTCCTGGGAGCCCTGACAGAGGGAAGTGGGCAAAAACTGGTTCCACTTTTATCTGCTCCATTGAGGTCACCCTCACCACCAGGTGGCACAGGCCAGCACTTGGGAGGCAGAGGCAGGCTGATCTCTGTGAGTTCAAGGCCAGCGTGGTCTACAGAGAGCGTTCCAGGACAGCCAGGACTGTTACACAGAGAGACCCTGTCTTGGGAGAGAGAGAGAGAGAGAGAGAGAGAGAGAGAGAGAGAGAGAGAGAGAGAGAAACCCTTCACTCTTTGATACAGTAGAGAAACACAGGCATTCATTCTTAACAAACTATAAGATTTGAAGATTGGGATGGCGGCTGAATTGGCAGAGTGCTCGCTTGTCCAGCATGCACAAGGCCTTGGGTTTGGCCTCAGGCACAGCATCAGCTAGGCATGGTGCACAGCACTGTAATCTCAGCACTAGGAAGGTGGAGGCAGGGGGATCAGAAGTTCAGGGTCATCCTCAGGTAAACATTAGTTTGAGGGCAACCAGGGTTACATGAGACCCTCTCTCTCTCTCTCTCTCTCTCTCTCTCTCTCTCTCGCTCGCTCGCTCTCACACACACCACACACACACACAAAGGAAAGGGAAAGAAAGAAAAAGAAAATGAGGTTTGCACACCTCAAATGGAGAGCCATGGGAGGCGACTCAGCCTCTTGAGCCTGTTAGGCTGCATCTAGACCCCTGACCAAGCACCCAGTGAGCCTTCCCTGTGCTCCCCCACAGGTCCTGCCTCGGCCTGCCTCCTGCTGACATTCCTGGCCTTCCCTCTGGTGACTCCCAGCTGCCCTATGCTCTGCACCTGCTACTCATCCCCGCCCACCGTGAGCTGCCAGGCCAACAACTTCTCCTCGGTGCCGCTGTCCCTGCCACCCAGCACACAGCGACTCTTCCTACAGAACAACCTCATCCGCTCCCTGCGGCCAGGCACCTTCGGGCCCAGCCTGCTCACCCTGTGGCTCTTCTCCAACAACCTCTCCACCATCTACCCTGGCACCTTCCGCCATCTGCAGGCCCTAGAGGAACTGGACCTCGGTGACAACCGGCACCTTCGCTCCCTAGAGCCCGACACCTTCCAGGGCCTGGAGCGCCTGCAGTCGCTACACCTGTACCGCTGCCAGCTCAGCAGCCTGCCCGGCAACATTTTCCGAGGCCTGGTCAGCCTACAGTACCTCTACCTCCAGGAGAACAGCCTGCTCCACCTACAGGTGAGCCAACCAACCACCTCCCCGGGCCTCTTTCACCTCTCTCTCTCTCTCTCTCTCTCTCTCTCTCTCTCTCTCTCTCTCTCTGGACCCGCCTAGCCACGTCCACCTACCTGTGTCTCTGTCTCCTTTCTCTGTGTTCGTCCACCCCATCAATAACCCCGCTTGCCCCTCTCTCTGTACCTCTCTCTGTAACCCCCATTTGTCCTGCCTGTCTCCTGACTTGCTCCCCATATGTCTTCCTCTGCCTCTTCTGTCTGTCTCCCTTCACGCACCCACTCAGCACACCCCACAATGTCTGTGTATCTCTCCTTTCCCCGAGAGCCGCAGCCCAAAGGCCTTCGCATGATCTTTTCCCATCCACCCCCACGTTCTCCCACTTCCCAGGCGAGCTGGACAAAGGGTGGAGTCATTGCCAGGGAGGGGCCTGTCTCCTGAAGTCACACTCTTCTCTGATCGCTGGGTAGTAACACAAAGGAAAGCCTTGCCCTCTGTAGATCCCGTCCCTCGAGCCTATTGTCTCAGGTAAAACGCTGTCTCAGGTAAAACACAGCGGAGAAATGGATGCTCTGGAGAAAGAGAAATGGAAGGAATAGAATAATTGTTATTTGCTGTTATTATTATTATTGATCTAATTATTATTTATTATTGTCGTTATGCTCACTGTCTGGCAGTCAAACCCTCACATCTCCTTTCTCCGGGAAGTAGTCACACACCCTCAAAAACAACCACTCAGAAGGACCATGTTTCCTAGCAGCACAGCCTCTGGCTAGAGGGGAGCACTCCCCTACTTGAGCTCAGAGGACCTTCTCCGTATCCAGGCCTTGGTACCCACAGGTCCTCCGTCTGTGGGTTGGAAAATCAGTCCCAGCCGACGTTCCTGATAATAGCAATAAGTGCTGATAATTTATCCATGTGTTGAGCATCCATGGGAAGCCGTTCTAGAAGGACAGCAACCTTGGAAATGGTGTTTAGATGGAGAGAGGGGCAGGAAACGGCATAGTGACCAGCATGACATGTCTCATTATTGTTGGCTGATGGCGATTGATTCAGCAGGCATACAGTAAGCACACATTGTATTGGGCCCAAGGCGAAGCAAGCATGTGGCACTGTCAAACATGGGCCTCAGTTTTCCTCTCTGTGAAGTGGGAGTAGTGTGAGCATCCGTCGCCCAGGGATTTTGTAAACACTAAATGCATGAATAATTTGTAGTGTCCACTTAGAATAGCGCTTGGCATATACAAGGGCTATATAAATGCTCGTTAAAATGCCGTGTGTTTTAAAATGAACTTTATTTAACATTGGTCTCGGTGAAGTGCCCCAGCTTGAACTTCATCTTAGAGATCTGGGTCAGCTCTAAAAATTATTGTGAGGCCATGGATAGGATCCAACACACCTCCCATTTCTCTTCTTCCTAAAGTTGCCGAGAACCACATGGTTACGGCGTGCACTCTGCCTCTCCCTCTCAAGCCTACAGGCGTCTGGAGGCAGAGGTTTTCACCACAATGTGCACACTGGGGACCCTAAGGATTTGTGGGACATAAAGTCCCTATGATTGGGGACTTACTGGGCTCCCCACCAAGCTGAGCCCCTGGCAGCAGGGACAGACAAGGCTAGAAGGGACACAGAATGGAACTGAGACTCCACAGCCAAGTGGGAGCTGACACTTGACCTACCTAGTACGACCATACCTTAGAGGGCTGGTACCCTGAAATACAGTTGAGTGGGCTAGGGGTTTGGGCTAGTGTGTTTGCTGGTTTGCCGTCGGCTTGTTGCTGTTGTAGATTTATTTTTATATGTTATGGGTGTTTGCCTACATGTTCATCTGTGCCCGTCAGAGGAAGCCAGATTCCCTGGAGCTGGGGTTCGTTTCCTGTGGTTGTGAGTGGCCATGTGGGTGCTTAGGAATCAAACCCAGGTACTAGAAGAGCAGCCAGTGTTCTTAACCTTGGCGCCATCTCTCCAGTCCTGACCTTGAACTTCTTAAATCCTCCCACCCCTGATTCCTGAGTGCTGGGATTACAGACCTGTACCAACATGCCTGGTTTGTACAGGGCTGCAGATGGAACCTTGGTCTTGGTGTAGGCTAGGCAACCATTCTACCAACTGAGCCGCATCCCCTGTGGGTTCGATTTTAAAAGCGCTTCTCAGCCTCTGTGTGTGGCTTCAGATAAACTATTTTCCACATCCCTAAATTGGCACCTTAGCGATGTTTATCTACCTATAATGTGCATCGGTATTAAAATGAAGGGAATTGAGCAGAGGCTGTACTCCAGAACAGAAGTACTGTGATTATGACAGGCTGAGCACCTGACCCAAAGTGTTGGGGATCAGGTGTGTCTGTTTCAGACTTCGGAGGATCTGCATACACATGATGAGTTATCGTGGAGACAGGACCCATACCTCCTACACGCTTGTCCACATAGTTCATCCATGTCTCTTACACACCTGGGCTCACAGCCTGAAGAAAACTTCATACAACTTCATAATTCTGACCGGGAAACACATTTCATGGTAGAGAATTCCCTACTTGTGGTAACATGTTGCTGTACCTCTGAGAGTTTTGGATTTTAGTTAGATTGGGGGGGGGGTTTCAGATTTTCTGGTTAAAGACACTTGGCCTTTGCTCTTCATTTTTAAGTTACATTTTTTTATACTCATGGGGAAGGTGGGTGTACGTGCATGTGCCGTGGTGTGCAAGTGGATGTCAGAGGGCGCCTTGGGGGAGTCGGTTCTCGCCTTCCAGCTAGGTCCCAACTGAGGAACCCAGGTTGTCAGGCTTGGTGGCTGTCTTAGTTCAGTTTTCTGTTGTTGTGAAGCGACACCGTGACCACAGCAACTCTTGTAAAGGAAGATATTTCATTGGAGTAGCTGGCTTACAGGTCAGAGGTTCAGTCCATTATCATCACGGTAGGGAGTATGGCAGTGTGCAAGCAGACATGGTGCTGGAGAAGCAGCTGAGAGTCCTACATCTTGCAGGCAACAGGAAGTCAGTTGAGACACTGGCAGTAACCTCAAAGCCCACCCCATAGTGACACACTCCAATAAAGTCACACCTCCTAATAGTGCCACTCCTTATGAGATTATGGGGTCCAATTACATTCAAGTCACCACAGTGGCAGACACCTTTACCTACTGAGCCAACTTGCTGGCCTTGACTCCGTATCAGTGGCTACTCCTAAGACCCTGATCTCCTTATCTGATGTGGGATGTCCTTCTGCATATGTATGCCAACACTTATCAACATGTAGAAGCTACAGCTACTCATCATTAGCATTAGGGAAGGTGCCTCCCTTCTCCAAGCCTCCCTCTCCTCTTCCTAGTGGGGAGCCATGAAAATGGTGCCGTCCACAAAGACAGACTGTGAGATGCTAGTAAGTTAATGTGTAGAGTACATCGCCTAGGGTTTAATAAATTACTTTTGCCAGGCAGTGGTGGTGCACACGCCTTTAACCCCAGCACTAGGGAGGTGGAGGCAGGTGGATCTCTGTGAGTTCAAGAATTCCGGGACTGCTAAGGCTACACAGAGAAACCCTACCTTGAAAGCAAATAAGTAAATAAATAACTGCCGACCCTCAGGCCACAGACGGCAATCTGTTCCTGGGGTCACCTAAGCTCAAGGTGACCCTTGGGGTGTTCTGAACTAGAAAACAATCTTGACCTGGGCAACATCGGGTGTCATGGGAAGGAAGCCTCTTCACACCCGGCCCTTTATAGAGAAAGGAGACAGCACAGCCTGTCTGTGAAGTGCCTGATAGAACTAGGCTAGGAGATGCCACACGCAGGTGAGGAAACACGTGGCTCGGTGAGATCCTCGGGGAGCAGGTGTGACCCAGGATGGAGCCCAGCCTGCCCCAGAGGGGAGCTCTGAAGACGGCTCTGATAGGCTGTGGCTGGTGCACACGAAAAACGGTGGTGGTTCTCATGGCATGTCTGCTGAGGGCTAGGCACTGTGCCAGGCCGGTTCATTCACCAGCAGACTCCTTACTGAGCACCTACTGCATGCCAGGCAGGCAGCAAGCAGGGTGCCAGGGATTCCAGGGTGAATGGATTGAATGTAAACAGTATCCCTGCTCTGCTGGAGGGGGGCCAGATGGTAAAGCGGCATCCCTCCCTTAGTTACTGCTGTGGCTTGCTTCATGTTTACTGGCAGGTCGGAGTTCTAATCTAAGCCCTTTCCCATTTGCCGTGGCCTCAGGGACCCACCTATGAGAGAGACGTTGTGGCCTGTTGCTCAGGGTGGGAGGTGCTGTGGGAACTAAAGGGAAAGAATACAGAGTTGGGTGGGAGTCACTGACAGCGGTGACTTCACCAATTGTGGAGCTGCCAGGGGAGAACTGGTCCGGGCGTGTTAGGCTCTGCAGCACAGGTGTTGGGAGTCTTGCTGCTGGAGTTCATGCCCGTGTTAGCTGTTGGACCCTCAGCAAATGGTTCCCTTCTCTGAGCCCCTCTCTCTCAGTCTCCAGAGAGAGAAGGATCACAGCATCTGCCTCGGGAGTGTTGATGATTAAGATACTATCAGGATCTGTGCCACACAGGACTTGGCATTCAATGAGAACTTGGCAAATCACCTGCTGACGCCAATGATTGTGACACCTACCATGGATGGGCAAGCACCACGAGCGGGGGTGCCCAAGGCAGAGTGCACACGCGGAACAGCTTTGCTGAATGAGTGAGATCAACTCCCAGGCTCACTGAGTCAAAATTATCAAAGGCTTGGGGGACCCGAAGGATCAGTCGCTCAGAGTCCCAGAGGCCCAGAGAAGTGCCTGGAGCTGTCCAAGGTCGCACAGCCTGGGATATTGATGAGATCGGTACCAAGGCCAGGGGCTGGAAGGTTGGAGGAGGAAGGCAAGGTTAAGAACAGGATGCTCTCAGCAAGGCTGAGGAGCTCAGGGATGCTGCATTTAGATTCCAAATGGATACAGAGAGCTGTGAACCGGCCAGGCGGGAGGCGAGGGAAATGTGGTTTTTGAAATGGAAGAGAGGGATGACTTTAGCCCGCCCCCTCCTAACCCAGAGGGAGGGGGCGGGCGAGAAGGTGGTGGGGGAGGGGTCAGGGCTGTGAAAGTCAAGAGCTCATTAATGCACAGAGAAAAGTTTTAATGGTGGAGAGAGGAAGGACCGGATTTGAGAGCTGCAGCCCAGGAAGTGGCTACAACTTGGGGTGGGGGAAGGGAATGGACCCCAAGGTTAATGCTCAGAGGGGGCGAGGAGCGAGACTTTTAGCCAAGGCACAGAGAGGAGAAGAGGCTAGAATACAAAATTGGGCTGTGGTTTAAAAGAAAAATCTGGGTTCCCTGGAATGTCCTCTCCTCTAGAGCCCCATTGTCACTCTCTCCTGCGTCCACACACTGATCTTGTAGCCCCACATCTCTGGGTGCGTCCTGCTACTGCTGACACTCTGGGAAGAGAAGCCCCAAGGAAAGGGTTAAGCGGAAGGACTCAGAGCACCCTCTGGGCAGGACAGGAAAGGAGGAGCATACGGCAAGGCTGAGGCTGGGGGTGAGCAGGTCAGCTAGGGACCACAGCAGGCAGGCACTCAGGGTGGGGGCATCCGAGGGTGGAGAGCGCTGTGCTGGTGTCAGAGGTAGTAGGGAGCTTGAGGGCTGATCTCAACGTGGCCAAGAGAAGGGCTCTTGGCAGACGCGGTTCCTGTAGTGGAGAGGGCGGAAGGCATATGGGAAGAGGTGCGAACACGCAGGAACACAGGAAGGTGGAGGCTGTGGGTTTGGGCTGGGACTCCGCATACTCCCCTTCCTGAGACCTTCGACCAGGTGCCCAGGTAGCATGAGGAAGGAAGCATCTCCCCAGGCACTGGGGGCGTGGGAGAGAGCCAGAGCTGGGGAGCAGGCCAGGGTGAACCGGCTTCAGCAGAGAGTATGCTCCTGTTCTGTTTAACCTGATCACCTGGGATCTGCTGACCAGGGCCATTTGGGGAGCGCCGCGAGGCATGTGGGGTGACGGGAATGGGGGGTGTGGCTCTTTCTACACTTAACCCTTCACTTCTGATGGGTGGACACTGGGTAGCTCCCAAACCACACTGCATATGTGTAGGGGTGGGGGGATGATCCAATTCAGGGCCTTAAACATGTAGGCAAACTCTACAACTGAACTACAGCCCCGCACCAGCGGACCACCGAAAATTCTCTGGTACGCTGGTTAAAATGCAGAGCACCCCGCCATGGCCATACCATACCTTCTGAGCCTTAATCCCAAGGTTCTGCCAGTTCTAACATGACTTCACAGGCCCTGTCCCTGACACCATAGGAGGGACAATGATACAGGGCATCAGGGACTTCTACCTCTTCTGGCCTTTGCGCTAAGTCTGGGGTGTGGAGCGCTAGACAATGATCCCCTGAAGAACTCAGACCCTGGTGGAACTTCCAGTCCCCAAAGAAACCCTCCCTTAGAGGAAAATGGATGGGATGGAATTCTAAATGAGCCCCTGCTGTCATGACAACCGTGAATTATGGATGGCTGACTATGCCTCTATCAAGTGCTGTACCCTCAACAGCATTGGAACATCTAACCCTCCTTTAGTATATTTAAAAACACTTGGGGTGGGGGGGAGTTTTGAGACAGGGTTTCTCTGTGTAGGCCTGGCTGTCCTGGAACTAGCTCTGTAGACCAGTGTGGCCTTGAACTCACAGGGATTTGCCTGCCTCTGCCTCCCAAGTGCTGGAATTAAGGGCGTGAGCCACCACCTCCCGACTATTTAAGAACCTTCTAAGGATACATACTAAGGGAACAGAGACTGTGTGAGGTTAACCAGCAGAGGAAAAGGAAAAGCTGGGGCTTGCGTGGGTGCTTTTAAGTCCTGAGCCTGTGGGCTTCACCCCTGAACAAAACCTCTATATGCAAGAATTGTACCCAGCACTCCAGCCCCATGAACCTTCTGTGAACTCTGTTCACTGGTCCTCAGAACAGACTTAAGAGCTAGGGACACTCATTTCCAGTTTTCAGAGGAGAAGGCCTGCTTTGAGGAGGTACCGGGGCTTGGCCAGCTTCACAAACATGGCTAATTCACACAGTGTCTGTCTGCCTATGTGAAAACCTTATCCCAAGCATCTTCTCCTCCTCCTCCTCCTTCTTCTTTTCCAAGGTAGGGTTTCTCTGTGTAGCCCTGGCTGTCCTGGAACTCACTCTGTAGACCAGGGTGGCCTCAAACTCAGAGATCCACCTGCCTCTGCCTCCCCGAGTGCAGGAATTAAAGGCGTGCGCCACCACCGCCTGACTATCCCAGGCATCTCAATACGTGCTGGCCCCACTAACTTCCACATTTTACAGAGGAAAAAACTGAGAAACAGAAAGACAGTGGCTCTTCCCAGGCATCACAGTTCATGACAGACCTGGGATCTAACTCTCAAGCTCCAAGCACGGTCTTCAGGCGACCTCATCACTGACACAGAAAAGGCAGACTTGTTCTGGGCCTACCCCACCCCTGCCGAATGGCAAGCACTGGGGAGGTCCTGAAACCTGAAAGGGGTTAGGATACACCCTGAAGTTTAGAATGAGACAGGGGGGATGCCACTGTCCCTGTGTGTGTGACGGCTAGTATCGACTGTCCTCTTGATAGGCTCTAGGTTCACCTAGAAAGGCAAGAAAGACAGCTTGTCAGATAGGTGGTTATCGCCAATTCACACGATGTAAACACACACACACACACACACACACACA